AGAAAGATAAAGGTAACCTTATAAACAATATTGTATATTGTTACTGTATGGCATAATCTTTTCAGATTCTTACTAAAAGAAATGGATTACGTATACAGACAAAAACAAAAATGTCTATTGAGCTTAGGTAGCTATGAGATTGGTAGAGAAGCCAGATTGTGTAAAGATTGTATCTAAGATCCCCTATTAATCAAAACCTCATTCACTCACACACTTATTCACTAACTAGATTCACATTGCAGTAAGTTTTAATATGTGTAGCAAATTCTTGTGGATCTTTTCCTTACTTTGCCATTAGAACAAAATCATTGTTCTTCCTTGTGGGGTAAGAGACATGATAGTATTAGAATATTTCCACCTTATAATAATTTTTGAAATAGGTATTTTTTGTTTTCTTGGTAACAGGCTAATGTTAATACAATTGCACATAATTGTAGTAGACTAAAGATTTATACCAAGATCTTCCATGTGTTTAATGTGTACTTGAGGCACAATAGGAAAGCACTTTTTATTTCTTTACTGATATGTTCTGAAATTAATCTTGGATGTTATTTTCTCAAACTAGTTTAAGGCCAATTTTCTAATGAGTGATAGACACCTTAGACTGCCATTATGCTCATGAAGCTCTGTGAATAAATCTTAATTATTTTTATACTTTCAGCTATTATTTTTAAAAATGCCTAAATGCTACAATGTGTGCAATCATCTGAATGTCTTCTTCTAATTAACCTGCTTTCATCATCACAATAAAGTTATCCAAGTGGTAATGTATAATTTAAATTAATTTGTTTTTCCCTTCAGGACAAATTATTTAAGTACAGATTTTCCTAATAGATATGTGGTTGGGGACAGCAAAAGAATTTTGTATGAAGCAAAGGAATAGAAAAAGCAAAATAACAATGTTTGAGAGACCAAGATGTGAATGCAATGACCAAAACTGGACATTTTTTTTAAATAGATGCTTGGCTGGATAGGTGGATATGATAGACACTACCAACTTAGTTTGAAAAGACAGTTAAGTAAGTAGTGACAGATAAATCCAATAATTTCTGGATATTTCCAAGAACCAGTTGGATGGGAGAAAAGTAGCAGGTAAAAACTGCCCTGTTTGTGAGCCTCCATGGATATCTAGCTGGCTACCAGATAAATATGTTAATGAACTGTGAAGGCCTTTGGTCTGATAGTATTAAAATCTGGAATTTTTAGGATTAAGAAATGGCTGGCTGTTTTTGATGAGAATAAGTTTCTGATAATATCACTTTTTTTCTTGCTAAGATTCTAGTTACAGAAAACTAATGCTGTATCTTAACTTAGAGTCAGAATTGTGCTGATTTTATTTTATCTAGGCTACACAAAATAATTTGCATTGTCATTGATCACAGTACAATCATTTTGATGACATAATGACCTGGATGCCACTTAAAACTAAAACTTAATGTGGATATTTGACTTATGGTTTGCAAACCCATCCATTGTGGCTTTATATTATCTGTGAAATAGGCTGCTGTAACTTGTTCAGTCAGATGCTCATGGTCCTGGCAGTCCTTTACCAAAGTCTTAACATTATCTCTGTATGCAGGTGTACCTTTTATGCTAAGTTTATCTTGGCTCCTGATGACTACCTGGACAAATCCCTAATGTTTTCTTGGCAATTTGGAAGTGATTTCCCATTGCCTTCTTTGGCTGAGAATGACTGGTCCAAGATCACCGAGCTGGTTTCATGCCTAAATTGGGTTTCCAAATTTCATTTATCTTTTAGATCCTAAATTAGATGATCATCAAGCAATCATTATTATTTTTATTTAAGGTAGCAAGGTGGGATTTCTAAGAACTTTTTCACCAGGACATTAATCTGATCTAGCCTGCTTGATAACCAGCATAATTGTCATTATTATAGTAGGTGATAAATATAGAACTGTAAAAAGTCACAAAACAGAAAGATCTGTAAATAGAAGTGGAACAACTGTGGCAAAAGAAAGCAAAGATAGTACAAACAGGAATAGATGCCTTGGGTACAATCACAAAATATCTGGAGCACCACTTGAACACCATCAAAATCACTATTGGTTGATTGCTTTAGGCACCTTTATTTGAAACAGCTTACATCCTATAATAATATATCCTTTAACACCATCAAACAACATCTGCCTATCCCAGATCCTTGGGAAGGGCTCAATAAATTAACAAAAATGTCAAATAGTCTAAACATCAGGCTGACTATGTGACCAACCAAAATAATATTCTTTTTGAAGCACAGCTGTAGCATGTAACAAGACAGGTTATATAACATGTTCTTCAATTAGATTGAGCATTTCAAGCCCATGCTACTTTTCAATCAGTCTTGCTTTAAGGATTGGAAATTGTCATTATACCACAAGTTATATTTTGGAAATTATAATGTTTTTTTTAATATTTCTTCATTAATTGCCTCCAGCTAATAAAACATGGCTATTTACATAACAGTTTGGTCATCAGTTGCATAAAGTGGCTTTTTTCTATTTTATACATTATTTTTAACAATCAAAATCAAGATAAAAAGAAACTTCAAAATTGTTAACGATCACATAATTTTTCCTCACAAAGGAAACACAAGATTCTTAGCAATCTCCTAGGTGTCTCCATTTTTGCAGTAAAGTTTTATTTTATATGTGAAAAAGAACCAATTGTACTCAGCAAGAAACATGGAACAGATAAACATTACTACAAATCTTACCTTCATATTACTTTGCATCTATATCAGTGGTTCTCAACCTTTCTAATGCCACAACCCCATAATACAGTTCCCCATGTTTTGGTGACCCCCAACCACTTATACATCACCGGGTGCCAGGGGCGTGGCCAAAGAAAAGGGGAAAAAAATGGCGGACAGCCTTGTTTAGCGACCCCCGTGAAATGGTCGTTCGACCCCAAATGGGGTCCCGACCCACAGGTTGAGAACCACTGATCTATATGATCTCTGCAAATGTTTATTCTGACTTTTAGGTAACTTGAAAAAAATGTCTTTTAATTAAAGAAGGAAGCCAACAATGAAGAAAGATATAACATTTTATATCTTTATAACATGTTGATGTATGGCATTTGTTTCTAAAATAGTGATGTTGCTTTAAATCATCACTACATATTTTGCCACAAACCATGGTTTAGAAATCAACAGCATCTCAATTTGTACAACACATTAAACTGAAATTAATCCAACATGTGTAACATGAATGTGACCCAAAAGAGGCATTGGGTAATCTGTTTTAACCAATTGGCCAAGCATATGCTGACCTTCATGTTGAGTCATTTCTTCTATTAAATTAATAATAGTTATGAGGGACTGAAATAGGTTTTATAGCTGGAAAGAAGGTTCTACATCACTTGAAGAAGTGGTCCTTTGGGAATCTTTCTCATCCCCCAAACAGCATTTTTGTGAAAATGCTGGCATAACCTCCTCTTCATCTGACAAAGAGCCTGTATTGTGCAGAACCAGTGCAAAAAGTCTACTCATTGTAAACATAAACACTTTTTAAAAAACTATTTAAACAATATAGTTACTTTTCACTTACTTTGCTGGCACCCCAGCTTAATAAAGCAGTAAAACAATACAGGAAGCATTGAAAGAATGCTTCATGTTCATATGCATCTGCCATTAAACTGTATGGATTATGTGATACAGCCTTCAAGATGATAACCCTGAATTTAAGATGCCACCTTGAAGGGAAAGCTTGACAGAAAAAAAACCTACTATGTTCTCATCAAATCTCAGACAAGATTCCTAAATTATTGGAGAAAAAAAAATCAGGGCATAGAATCCCCAGTCCTAAAATTCAGTGGGAGGATACACATCTGGGAACAGATTCCATGCAGAAAAGCTCCCCTTCAACTAAGGCAGGGGCCCCCCACCCCTGGTCTGTGAACCAGCACCGGGCCTCGGCATGCCAGCAACCGGGCCACGCAAACAAGCGAAGCCCCATCCATGGGATGCAGGCAACACATGAAGCCACGCCCCCTCTGGTCCGTGGAAAAATCTTTCTCCATAGAACCGGTCCCTGGTGCCCAAAAGATTGGGGGCCTCTGAACTAAGGTAAACTATGTGCCTATCATGAGAACTGCCCTCTCCTGCAATCTACCAATTGGTAAGTGGGAATTAGTATTATTGCATGCTGGAGAAGCTCTTCCTAGTAGGGTAACATACTCCACCAAACCATCAATCATGTGCTCCGGTGTGAGGTCAATAGCTAAGCTCCGATAGTTCTCGACTTAAACAGTTTGTTTAGTGACTGTTGAAAGTTACAACAGCACTGAAAAATGTGACTTATGATAGTTTTTCAGAGTTATGACTTTTGCAGCATCCCCATGATCACATGAACAAAATTCAGATGCTTGGCAACTGGTTCATATCCATGACCTTTGCTGTGTCCCAGGGTCACGTGATTATCTCTTGTGACCTTCTGACAAGCAAAGTCAATGGGGAAGCCAGATTCATGTAACAATCGGGTTACTAACTTATCAATCACTTAACAACTGTATGATTCACTTAACAACTGTACCAAGAAGGCCGTAAAATGGGGAAAACTCACTTTCTCACTTAACAACAGAAATTTTGGACTCAGTTGAGAGCTACGTCTACAGAAGGACATTTTTTTGCTTTATCTTCAATAGTGTAACAAGCAGGTGTACAAGCAGTTTGCCAATGAAAGTGGAACAAGATGCACTTGGGCTCTTTGTGGTTCAGCCAACCCTAAAGTGGGGAGGCTGAAAATGCACATGCGTGGCCCTCACTCCATTTCTTATATTTAATGTGGTTCCTGTGGTTGGAGTGATCTCCCGCCCTGACATATAAGAATATTTGATGACTACTAGATCATGACCAGATCATTTCCTTGTAATGTTGAAGCCATTCAACAACTGGGAGGTTGCAGCCACTGAACATTTGGCAAGGTTTTTTTTTTTTTTAAGCATGCACAAATCATGCCAAAAAGTATGTAGAAACTTAGTTTTATAACTGGGCAAGATTCTACAAATGGAGGCAAGAAAGAGGACATTTGAAATGGAATATATGAATCACAGAAAGTGCAAATTTGGGAACCAGGTTAGAGCAAGTGGGAATGAATCTGCCTGCTCTGTCCAGACTAATTAAATCTTAACGTTTTATTGTTTCTTAGTTCACATTAGGGATTGACCGCCTGGACTTCCAGATGTTTTGAGTTTAACTCCCTTCAGCCCCCGGACATCATCACCAGCGGAATTGTGGGAGTTGAAGTCTAAAACATCTGGAAGGTACCAGGTAGCCCATTCTAGTTCGCACCTCATGACTCGGCTGTAGCATCTCTACCTCCTCGCGGTAACACCCGAGTTCTCCTGGCCAAAGACACTTTCTACCGCCATCTTTTTGATATGGACCTGCCGGGCTTCCTCGGTCTTTCCCCTCCTTGGAACAGAGCAAGACATAGCCCAGTTCAAGAAGGCGTCAGGGTCCTTCTCCGTCCGGTCACTTAAGTCTGTCGGCTCCCTCACCGCGTCATTTTGCGGAGGCAGTGGAGACACTCACGCCCTCCCACCCGCGGTCAGAGAGAACCTTATCAATCCGCCCTCTCCGGCAGTGCGTGAGGTTCTCTGCGGGCGAAAGCCGTGAGTTGAGAAGAGGGGAGAGGCTAGACAACCTGGGGGCGAGGGGCGGCGTGCCTGCCAGCTCCCATCTCTTCAAGCTCCGTGGGGAAGGAGGGAGCCGTGGGCCAAAAAAAAAAAAAAAAAAAAGACAAAAAGGCACGCCACCTACGACTCCGCCAGGAAAAGTGCCAAGGCGAGGGCGGAAAACGAACTTTGCAATCTCCAGTCTTAGGAGAAAACGCGCGGGTGGAGGGGGCGGAATCACGAAAGCCTCGGAGAAACAGCGGTAGCTCTGCCTTCCTGGTTCGGTTTGGCTTTTTAAAAACTGAAGAGGAGGAGGAGGAGGAGAGGGAGCGCCTGGAAAAGCTGTACAGCCAGCAGTCGCCAGCGAGAGAGAGGGAGACACAGGGAAGGAGAGAGAGAGAGAGAGAGAGAGAGTGGTAGGGAGGGAGGTGAATTAGTCGGTTAATGCAAACAGCCGCGGCCGTCCCCAGGAAAGTAGGACCGCTCAGAACGCTGCCCACGCCGCGAAGGGGGATTGGTGGGGGGCCCGAAGAGCAAGAGTCGCGGGAGGAGAAGGGAGGGAAGCCGGCAGAACCACCTTGAAGGCGCCCAGCTGTCCCAGGCGCGTCTCGGGGTCTGTCCTGGCGCCGGCACGCGCGTACACACACACACACACACGCATCTCTACACACGTGGGCGCTTTTCGCCTCCGCTCGCAGCTGGACACGAATCCCCTGGCCAAAAGGGGGGAGCGACGCACTGATTCCCAGAAGGGGGGCATCCCCTCCACCCCGGACCTACTTTCCTCCGTCTGCCAGTCGGTGCCATCTCAATTTGGAGCGTGGGAGCTTGTGGGCAGCAGGGCGCCGAGTCTCCGGAGCCTTCGCTTTAAGTGGCGGCCAGTTTCCCTTCCTTTTTCCCCTCCTCCACGCACTCCTTCAACTCTTAAGATTTTTCCCCCCTTTTTGTATGTACCAGAGGTGATTTCCCCCCCCCCGCCCCCAACTTCTTGGGGGTTTTTATTATCTCCTTTCTCTGTTTGGTAGCCTGGAGGAGAAAAGGCAACCTGCTTTCCTGACTTTAAAGCAACATTTGCAACCTGTTACATTTCTTTTTTTATTAGGCGCTACCTGTTGCAGGTTTTGTTTGTTTTGGTTTTTTTAATAGAAAGCGATTGCTGGTTTGAACACTCCACCTTTGCTGGAGCATCGCATCTGCTCTCCAGCTCGCTCTAGGACTTGCAACCAATTCAAGCAGTTTGGCGGACTGGCAACTTGACATATGCTATTTGGACTAACCATCGGTTGCATTTATTCTTTCGATCCTCGTTGTTTTTTTTAAAAAAGATCTGAACCTCGTTTGCACACCTTCAACTGCCACGGAGAAAATTCCAGGAAACATTTTGGTTCTTTCTTTGTGGGAGAAGCTAAGGGAAAAGAAGTGTGTTTTGGGCTTTATTTTATTTTTCATTTTTAAACCTTTTTTTCTAAAATGCACTGCTCTCTCCTGAGCGTGTTCCTCACCCTGGATCTGGCCACGGTGGCCTTTGCTCTGTCTACGTGCAGCACCCTAGACACGGACCAGTTCATGCGTAAGCGGATCGAAGCGATCCGAGGCCAGATCCTGAGCAAACTGAAACTCACCAGCCCTCCGGAAGAGTACCCCGAGCCCGAGGAGGTTCCTCCGGAGGTCATCTCAATCTACAACAGCACGAGGGACTTGCTGCAGGAGAAGGCGAACCACAGGGCAGCCTCTTGCGAAAAGGAAAGGAGCGATGAGGAATATTACGCCAAAGAAGTTTACAAAATTGACATGGGGAGTTACTACCCGTCGGCAAGTAAGTCTGCTCTGAATAATTCTGTGCGCCTGTGCCAGGTAGAGCTCTGGTTGCTGCGGGATTGTATGTATATAATGTGCCTGACAGGGTGTGTGCGAGGTGTGGAGAGGTGTCTTCTTGATTGTCTTGAGACCTCAGGTGGGTGTCTGGCGGTTCAGGTCCCACAGAGATTGGGGGGGGGGGAGAGACCAGAGTATAATTCAGCTGTTTGACATTCCAGACCCCTCTCCCACATGTTAAAAATGTAACAAGGGGTTTCCTCTGCAAAAGGGAGGATGTTGACATAGCCAGTTGACATAACCAGTTGCATTTCGGCAGTTACTTAAATAGCACAGCACAGCTAGCTACATTATTCCTCAGGATGAAAATCCAAGCAAGTGAGCTAAGTTTCATCAAGGAGATTTAATGGGAAATTGGGCTCTGCACCCTTACCCTTGGGAATGTTTTGAGTGCCAAGGTGTAATCTTGGGACACGCAAAGTAAGAAGAGAAGAGATGTGTGTGCCTCTGAACATCTGCAGAGAGCCTGTCTTTTACCCATCTATGAGAACTAAACCATACATATCCAAACCTAAGCACTTGCAGAGGCTTCCTGGCACAGAACACAAATGCAAATTGGGCTTTGCCTCTCAGGAACGTCCTCATAAAGCTTTTGTTAAAGAGTACATAACATCCCACCCTACTCCAATTTGGCCGGCTGGTGTCTTCTTTGAGGAGCAGAAATATCTGTAAGGCTCCTTTTTCTGATTCTCTCCTGTCATTCTTCCTTGTGTAATATTTCTCTATGTTCCTTCAGTTGGGAACTCTAGCTCCCCAGTGCTTTCTCCTTAGATACTCTCCACTTCAGCACTTTGGCAGACACTTCTGCAAATCCTGGATCTTTCTCATCGAGCACCTGGGTCAACAAACATCACAGATGGGATTATAACCACCCTCTGCCCTCCCTCCTCAGAAGCCCACTCCCGACACCCCTTCCTATCGCCTTAGCAGTCTCCTATCTCTTGTTTCCATCCTGTGGCCTCCTCTAGCCACTGCTGGATTTTGTTGGAATTGGGGAAGGAGGGCGTAAGAAGTGGGGAGAATGGAGAAAAACAAGAATGGTTTCTGACTGTAAAACTCAAGTTTTTCTTGCCTACCCAAAAATTGTCCAAACCCTTTTTCAGTTTAATAGTCCATCATATTTGTGGTCATCTTCGCTCCAGGTACAAAATAAATCTCCCTCCAACATTTTCTTAAGGCCAGCTTCCTGGACACAGCCTGGGAATGTGTCAGCTGGATCTGATTAGATCAGTGTTTCTCAACCTTGACAATTTTAAGGCATGTGGACTTCAACTCCCAGAATTCCACAGCCAGCAATGCTGGCTGTGGAATTCTGGGAGTTGAAGTCCACATGCCTTAAAATTGTCAAGGTTGAGAAACACTGGATTAGATGGACTCTCTCCTGAAGATCAGGGCGAGCTTGAAGAAGTTGGCTTCATACAAATCTAAAAGCTGAGCATTAAGTGTTGGCAGTGGCAGACTTGAATTCAAATTGCAGCTCCAGTTTGGACTTGCTGTTGGGCTGTGGCCAAAAAGGTCTAGTCAATTAGAGTGCTTATATACCCAAAAAGGTGAGATATAAATATAAAAATAACAATGCTCTGCATCATAACTAGAAACAACTCCAGCCCAGTGGAGTTATCTTCACATAAGTGTGCACAACATTGCAAAGTTATACTGCTATCCTGTATATATGTCTGTTCAGAAGCAAGTTGCATTACGTTCCTAGGTAACTTTAGACAGGATTGTTGCTTTACTCTCTGAAATTGTGGATTTTTTTGCTCTTTAGAAAATCAGGCTGATTATTGTGGTCTGGAGCAGAATTGGAATAGCTTAGAACAATGCTTCTTAACCTCGGCTACTTTAAGATGGGTGGACTTCAACTCCCAGAATTCCCCAGCCAGAATGCACTGGCTGCGGAATTCTGGGAGTTGAAGTTCACCCTTCTTAAAGTTGCCATATATTGTTTTAGAACAATACTCAAATGTAGGTCAGTGTGAGAAATTTTGTAGGAGGAATAAAAGGATGGGATCTCAAAGTGTTCACTAAAGTGCATCTGCTCACTGATTAATTTTCTAATTTGTTCTTTTCTGCTTCTGTTATATCGAGCCTATATACTGATACCTGATCATCTCTGAGAAGCAGGTAATAGAGAAGGCATTGCAGCCTTCTGGGTAACTCCATGCTAGATTTTCTATCTCAATATTCTATATATTTTATTCTCAATATTCTATATATGTTACAGAGGTGTATCTTTGAGGCTTGCTGGGGCACGCCAATGAGAGTCAGGGAACTAGGGTGCCAGCCAGCAATTTCTGCACCCAATTCTCAGTGAGCTGCCTTCTCTTTCTTCTTTTTATTGTCAAATGACAATCCAAGGAAGAGGACACCCTGGGAATCAAAGGGTTTTATTATTGTAATTAAGGCACCATCCAGAAGTCTATGATAAACACACTCCACCCTTGCTGCCCTGAGGGAAAAAAAACATTTTGCAGAACGTGCTGGAGCCAAGGAGGGATGTGCAAGCTCTCTGGTATAATTTGTGGCAATAATGCTGAAATGCAGAAGTGAACTCAAGACATTAGAATGCACACATATGTATGTGCATGTACACACATCCACACATGCAATTGCCTACCCTCTCCCCCCCCATGTGGCTAACATTATGGAAAAACTCATTTCTTTGGAGAACTGTTTACCATTTAAAATACAAAGAGAAAAGGGTGAAGCCCTCTCAGTCTCTTTGAGCACTTTTCTGATGTGGCTGAGCCATAGAAAGAAGCATGTTATCCTCTGTTCACTTACTTATTCAGAGTGAATGATTTACAGCTATGCATTTTTTTTCCTGGAAAATTCAACTATCCACAGAAACTGAAGGTTTATCTTACCATGCATGCAAAAGTGTCCCCAACACTTGAAATAGAACGGCAGAAAAGGACAAGTGGAGGTTGCAGGCCTTGGCCAATAGGGAGCATCAGTTGTTCAAGAGCCCACAGCTTGCTTGCTTGCTTGCAGCCAGGCTTCCTGTGCAAATACTTGGTTGAGAAGATCAGAGTAAAAGAGTTAACCGTTTTTCCACTGCTGTCTAGTTATATGTTAGGCTGGGTGAGCCATTCCAAAGGGAAAAAAACATATACAGCCAAGAAGAAACGGCTACAATATAAATGAGAAAACACAAGGCTAGGCTGCTCTTCAGTTTCCTTTCAGCCTTAAAAGGTTTAAGTCTTTTAGTACCAGTCAAGCAGACAATGTGGTGGTAGTAGGAGGGGAGGAGATCTCTACAAACACACTGAGGTCATAGAGTAAAAGGCCTGGGAAAGAGTAATCTCAGGGTTTTTTTTTTAAAGAAACTTTTTTTAAAACCACAGAGACATTAGCGTTTGGTAACAGACTACAGCTCAAATATTACAAATATGCTCTAATTATACTCATAGTTGGCTATATATCACTGTGCAGATCCCTGATAGGTCTTTGTGGGACATTTTGTAAAGTTCAGTGTAAATATTTTTAGCAATGAAGAGATTTAAAAGGAAAACCCAGAGATATTGTATATATCTCAAGGCATATTTTGTCTTCAATATTATCTTTGGCCAACTGTACTATATAAATACAGTAAATATGAATAGCCCTGGCATGGTGCCAATCTCCTGGGATGAATTTTAGTCAGAAGGTATTTATGGGATATGCATAATACTGTGTCAACATTTAAAGAAGGAACCTTATTAGCTCAGAATTTATTCGTATTAAACTTTTTGTGTGCTGCTGGGTTAAGACCTGAAGTGGAATTGGGCTAAAATTTTGCCAGTCATTTGCACATAGGGAATAAAAGGACATTTGGTTTCTCCTGGATGGATTGAAGGACCTGTAAGAGATGTTAGTATAGGTTGCTTAATGTGTCCCCAAAACCACTGAACTGGATTTTCTATAAAATAGGCAAAAACATGCCAGTCTGATTACTTTCCTTAGCCTAACTTCTGTATAAGCATACCCAATGAAGTTTCTCAGTAGTTGTATGTGTATTAATTTAGAATCAATGTATATTTCTGAATCATCAGTTTGTATTAGCCTTCTGTCTCCACTTCCTATCATGCTAGAAATTTCTTTTGTAATTGGAATGGATCCGACTTCCATCTAAAGGCTGTACATAAAATGTTTATCACTTTATCAGTTATTTTCTTTCCTAGGTTTTCTTGGAGCATGCCATAACATTTAAAATAAAAGACAGCTGATAATGCTAACTCCATTAGTTCTATTGAGTTAGCAAAAAATTATCTGTCTGTCTATCTTATGCCCAATTGCCCTCATAAATAATAAGGTCAGAGTGAGAAGGATAAACTAGTAAAGGTCCCTTCCTGCCTAAAGCAGTTATTAATTCTTGAGATAAAAATACAGCTAGCTACAAACCTGTATGAATATGACACACACACACACACACACACACACACACACACACAAACACATATATACATATATGAATGATATGGAATCCTGAACATACTTTTTAGGAGGTTGATCCTATTAAACTCAATGGCACCTCTACTCAAATTAATATACATATAGTTGTAAAACATAATGTCCACCATATAACTGTGCTTGAAAGAAAAGCCTGATGCTGGAGCATTTGGGTATTCTCCTTACATATCCTTTTAGTTCAGTGTTGATTTATAATTCCACAAAGTTCTGTGTGCTGTAGTACCAGGTTTGAGCATATCAAGCAGAAATCATTCATTAAGAGATGAAGAATCAGTGGCCTCCTAGGTGTTGCTGAACCACAGCTTCCAACATTCCTCACCATATGGGAGATGTAACAGTATTAGAAGGGCTGCAAGACCCTTCCTTCACTGTCTGTTGAAAGTGTTGTGTTCTGTGTGGTCTGACAGCCATTTGTCCGAAATGGTGTAGGGTTTCCTGCCCGAGCAGGGGGTTGGACTAGATGACCTCCAAGGTCCCTTCCAACTTTAC